TTTGAACAAATTTGGTAGTCCTTCATCCTAGCATGTCACTGGTCAAATATCATCATTCTATTCCTTTTGGTTATTCAGAAGAAGTTGTGTAAAGATTTTATACATATTTGACCCAAGTGACCTTGAATATACGTCAAGGTCATTTACTTACACAAACTTTGTAGCCCTTCATCCCATCATGTTACTGGCTAAATATCATTATCCTAGGACTCTTGGTTATTCAGAATAAGTTGTTTAAAGGTTTTAAACATATTTTATCCCTGTGACCTATAATATAAGTAAAGGCCATTCATTTGAACAAACTTGAAAGCCCTTCATTACAGTATGTTACTAGCCAAATATCAATACACTAGGTCTCTTTTTATTATACAGAAAAAGTTGTTTGAAGGTTTTAAAGATATTTGACCACTGTGACCTTGAATATAAGTCAAAGTAATTCATTTGAACAAACCTGGTAACCATTCATCCCCGCATGTTACTGGCCAAATATCATCACCCTAGGCTTCTTGGTTATTCAGAAGAAGTTGTGAAAAGATTCTAACATATTTGACTTGCGTGCCCTTGAATATAAGTGAAGGTCATTCATTTGAAGAAATTTGCTAGACCTTTATCCCAGCATATTACTGGCCAAAAATCTACACCCTAGACCTTTTGGTTATTCAGAAGAAGTCGTTTTATAGTGTTTTTAGGACAAATAACCCCTGTGACCTTGAATATGTGCAAGGTCATTCAATTGAACAAACTTGGTAACTTCAAGCCAACATCCTTCTGGCCAAATATCATCACCCTGGACCGTTTGGTTATACAGAAGAAGTCATTTATATTTTGTTTAAGACAATTGACCCCTGTGACCTTGAATATATAAGAGTAGGTCAATCATTTCAACAAACTTTATAGCCCTTCATTCCAACATCCTTCTGACCAAATATCATCACCCTGGACCGTTTGGTTATACAGAAGAAGTTGTTTCAAGGTTTTAAAGACAATTGGCTCCAGTGACCTTGAATATGGGTGAAGATCATTCATTTAACAAACTTTGTAGCCCTTCATTCCAGCATGCTTCTGACCAAATATCATCACCCTGTAGCTTTTGGTTATTTAGAAGAAGTTGTTTAAAAGTATGTATCCAATTCAAAATCCTGACTGGAACCTGTCTCCACAAAAAAACAAGAGCACTTGTTATCTTAAAAGTGGACTAAAATACAGCTACAGGAAGAATATCAGTGTTTGATTCATAGAAACTACTAAAAGATTCAAACATATGACGCCTGTGACCTTGAATGTCGAACAAGGACATTAGGTTTAACAGAGTTTATAGTCTTCCAACCCAGAATGCTTCAGGCAAAATATCATTACCCTGGACCTTTTGGTTATACAGACCAAATCATTTAAAAGATTTAAACATATATTGACCACTGTGGCCTTGAATATGGGCAAGGTCATTCACTTGGTAATCCTTCATCCCAGCATGTTAATGGCCAAATATCATCACCCTTGGCCTTTTGCTTATTAAGAATAAGTCGTTTTAAGGTTTTTAACATATTTGACCCCTGTGACCTTGAAAGTGGGTCAAGGTCATTCATTTGGACAAACTTGGTAGCCCTACATCTCAGCATGATACAGGCCTAATTTCAGTACCGTGGGCCTTTAGGTTATTGAGAAGAAGTCGTTTGAAGATTTTAAGACATTTGACCCCTGTCACCTTGAAAGTTGGTCAACGTCATTCATTTGAACAAATTTGGTAGCCCTTCATACCAGCATGCTACATGCCTAATATCAGTACCCTGGGCCTTTTGGTTATTGAAAAGATATTGTTTGAAGATTTTACGACATTTGACACCAGTGACCTTGTAAGTCGTTCAAGGTCATTCATTTGAACAAACTTAGTAGTCCTTCATCCCAGCATGCTACATGCCTAATATCAGTACCCTGGGCCTTTTGGTTATTGAGAAGCCGCTTGAAGATTTTACGACATTTGACCCCTGTGACCTTGAAAGTGGGTCAAGGACATTCATTTTAATTAACATGGTAGCCCTTCAACCCAGCATGCTACAGGCCCAATAGTAGTACCCTTGGCCTCTTGGTTATCAAGAAGTAGTTGTTTGAAGATTTTACGACATTTGACCCCTGTGACTTTGAAAGTAGGTCAATGTCATTCATTTGAATAACTTGGTAGCCATTTGTCCCAGCATGCTACAGGCCTAATATTTTTTGGTGCTGACAGGGAAAATGTTGCCTATAAGTACATCTGCATCCGCCGCTTTGCAATTAACACGCGAGCGCTAAATAGGTTAATACAGGTCAGAGTAAGGGGTCAGAGACCGACATGCTTCCACGAGCAAATACATCTAAATCTAAGTCCGTTATTGGTCTACTATGAACTGCGTTTTAGAAGCGCGTTAAACCAAACGGTTTGTGTGCGTTTGCGTTGAGTTTCCGTTGCGTTTCCGTTGTGTTTCCGTTGCGTTTGCGTTTAAACGGACAAGAAAAACAGTCTGTATCACCTGGCGTGGAGTTGTCCTACTTGGAATACGTTGTATAGCTACAATATCATAATATCCATCAATATGGACTCCGGTGATCTGTTGTAACTTTTTTGTGAAGTCCTCCATATGATTTTCATTCTGGTTTTCCCGCAGGCCATGGATTCTGATGTTGTTTTTACGGGATGTATTGCTCGTTCCTATTACAATATTCACTCATTAATCTTTCTCTGTTGGACAACATATATATTTAAAGTATGTCCTGAATCTCCTCAATCTTTTTGTCTCTCTTTCCCATCTCATCCTGTAAATTAGCCACATCTAGTTCTATACAGTTCAGATGTTGTTGTAGCTGATCTGTCTGTTCAATCACATATCCTTTCACTTCAGTCACAACTTCTTACCTGATGTTCTTAGAGACTGATTCTAGAGCTGTTGAAAAAGCTTTATCAACCACAACTTGTAAATTGGCCTGTTTCCCCAGCTACTTTGAACTCCAAAATTTCTGTTTTCAGTTCACAAATTTCCTTCATTATCATGTCTAAACTTGGATCCATGGATAGCATGGATAACAAACTTTAGCTCTCAAAATAAAGATGGCTGCCTGTCGGCCATCATGGTTTTCCAATCATTCCCAAAATTTGATATGCATAACTATGGTCTTCATATTAAATTTGAGCTTTGTGATCAGTCCCAAAAAATAAATATGCATAACTAGGGGCCATGGGGAACCTGCATGTGCAATTCAGAAAAGATTCCTCCTATACTTTCTGAGAAATAGCGCTAACAAGAATTGTTAAAGGACGGATGGAATGATGGACCACGGACACATGTTGCTTTGAATAGCCAACCATCTGATGATGGTGGGCTAAAAATAAATGGAAAAGGTTGTACAGCTAAGAGAATCAGTACATTAATGCCTTGGAAATAAATGTCTATGTAGAAATTTGCCAATCCTTTGGCTAGAGTTACACCCCACCAATACCTCAGCTCTAGAAATTTGCCAATCCTCTGGCTAGAGTTACACCTCACCAATACCTCAGATCTAGAAATTTGCCAATTCTTTGGTTAGAGATACCCCTCACCAATACCTCAGCTCTAGAAATTTGCCAATTCTTTGGTTAGAGATACACCTCGCCAATACCTCAGCTCTAGAAATTTGCCAATCCTTTGGCTAGAGTTACCCCCCACCAATACCTCAGCTCTAGAAATTTCCCAATCCTCTGGCTAGAGTTACACCTCACCAATACCTCAGATCTAGAAATTTGCCAATTCTTTGGTTAGAGATACCCCTCGCCAATCCCTCAGCTCTAGAAATTTGCCAATTCTTTGGTTAGAGATACCCCTCACCAATACCTCAGCTCTAGAAATTTGCCAATCCTCTGGCTAGAGTTACACCTCACCAATACCTCAGATCTAGAAATTTGCCAATTCTTTGGTTAGAGATACCCCTCGCCAATCCCTCAGCTCTAGAAATTTGCCAATTCTTTGGTTAGAGATACACCTCGCCAATACCTCAGCTCTAGAAATTTGCCAATTCTTTGGTTAGAGTTACACCCCACCTATACCTCAGCTCTAGAAATTTGCCAATTCTTTGGTTAGAGTTACACCCCACCAATCCCTCAGCTCTAGAAATTTCCCAATCCTCTGGCTAGAGTTACACCTCACCAATACCTCAGATCTAGAAATTTGCCAATTCTTTGGTTAGAGATACCCCTCACCAATACCTCAGCTCTAGAAATTTGCCAATCCTTTGGCTAGAGTTACCCCCCACCAATACCTCAGCTCTAGAAATTTTCCAATTCTTTGGTTAGAGTTACACCCCACCAATCCCTCAGCTCTAGAAATTTGCCAATCCTCTGGCTAGAGTTACACCTCACCAATACCTCAGATCTAGAAATTTGCCAATTCTTTGGTTAGAGATACACCTCACCAATACCTCAGCTCTAGAAATTTTCCAATTCTTTGGTTAGAGTTAAACCCCACCAATACCTCAGCTCTAGAAATTTCCAAATCCTCTGGCTAGAGTTACACACCACCAATACCTCAGCTCTAGAAATTTTCCAATTCTTTGGTTAGAGTTAAACCCCACCAATACCTCAGCTCTAGAAATTTCCAAATCCTCTGGCTAGAGTTACACACCACCAATACCTCAGCTCTAGAAATTTTCCAATTCTTTGGTTAGAGTTACACCCCACCTATACCTCAGCTCTAGAAATTTGCCAATTCTTTGGTTAGAGATACACCTCACCAATACCTCAGCTCTAGAAATTTGCCAATCCTTTGGCTAGAGTTACCCCCCACCAATACCTCAGCTCTAGAAATTTCCCAATCCACTGGCTAGAGTAACACCCCACCAATACCTCAGCTCTAGAAATTTTACAACTACCTTAATTAGAATGATCAAGAAGGGTTCTATCATGAGCTTTTTTGACTTTGAGTATCTTCCTTCTATTTAGAAGATGAAGCAATGTTGAAATGAATTCTTTCACTTGAATATATGAATAATATACGTACCAGATCTTCAAGATTGTTGAGATTGCCAATGCGTTCATCTATCCGTGCGACCTGGTTGTGAGCCATATGAAGAGTCCTCAAACTCACAGCCTTCGTGACACATTCTGGTAATTCAAACATTTTGTTTCGGCTATGGAACAGAAAGTGATACAGTGTTTTAGCTGAAGAAAAGATAACAGTATACAAGTTTTGTATGATAAAGTATTATGATAAAGTATACATTGTCAATGAAAATAGTAACAAGAAGCCCAAAGGGTCTAAATGTTTACATGTGTTTCATAGGCCTTCATGTTACAGGAGCATTTGTACAAATTTTGAAGAAAATGTCTCGGGCAATCAGAAGCCTGTGGTATCCAACTTAGATTCTTGCATAAACACACAAAGAAGGAAAACTTCCATTTATAAATATTCAATTCCTTTTGCCCAAAGATTCTCTAGATCAAGTTTGGTTAAAACCCCTTCAACAGTACAGAAGGAGAAGGATCTTTAATGTTTTCTTTTATTTCCCCTAAAGGGCCCCACTCATCTGCTCCAAAGAAGGGACCACACCCTCTGTTTATACAAACTTGAGGCTCCATTGTCCAAAGATGCTCTAGAACAAATTTGGTCAAAATCCTTCATTGGTTGAGAAGAAGAAGATTTTTAAAGATTTACCAATTTTCCCCCTATTTGGCCCCACCCCTTTGCCCCCAGGGGGACCATACCCTCCGTTTATACAAAACTGAGAACCCTTTGGCCAATGATGCTCCAGGCCAAATTTGGTCAAAATCGCTTCATCGGTACAAAAGGAGAAGGATCTTTGATGTTTTCCTCTATTTCACCTAATGGGTCCCACCCATCTGCCCCAAAGAAGGGGGACCACACATCTCAGTTTATACAAAATTGATTCTTTTGTCCCTAATCATGCTTCAGACTGCATTTGGTTTAAATCCCTCACTTGTATAGTAGGAGAAAAAAAATCCTCTATTTCCCCTATTGGGCCCCGCCCCTCCACCCCCAGAGGGCCCACACCCTCCGTTTATACAAACTTGAGTCTCCTTTGTCCAAAGATGCTCTAGGACAAATTTGGTCAAAATCCTTCAATTGGTTGAGAAGAGGATTTTTAAAGATTTACTTATTTTCCCCCTATTTGGCCCCGCCCCTCTGCCCCCAGGGGGACCATACCTTCCGTTTATACAAAACTGAGAACCCTTTGGCCAATGATGCTCCAGGCCAAATTTGGTCAAAATCGATTCATCGGTACAAAAGGAGAAGGATCTTTGATGTTTTCCTTTATTTCACCTAATGGGCCCCACTCATCTGCCCCTAGTAGGGGCCCCATACATCTCAGTTTATACAAAATTGATTCTTTTGTCCCTAATCATGCTTCAGACTGCATTTGGTTTAAATCCCTCACTTGTATAGTAGGAGAAAAAAAATCCTCTATTTCCCCTATTGGGCCCCGCCCCTCCACCCCCAGAGGGGCCACACCCTCTGTTTATACAAAATTAAGTCTCCTTTTGTCCAAAGATGCTCTAGGACAAATTTGGTCAAAATCCTTCTATTGGTCCCCCTATTTGGCCCTGCCCCTCTGCCCCAAGGGGGACCATACCCTCCGTTTATACAAAACTGAGAACCCTTTGGCCAATGATGCTCCAGACCAAATTTGGTCAAAATCCTCTGAGCCATTCAGGACTAGTAGCGTTTTTAAGGGAAAAGTTGACGGACGCCGGACACGGCGGACGCTGCACCATGGGATAAGCTCACTTGGCCCTTTGGGCCAGGTGAGCTATAATAAATGGGTCTAAATGTGTTCTCTGGTCTTCCAAAAGTTATACCCCGGCAATATGATGGTCAAGTTCTGCTTGCAAAGTCCAGTTTTGACCACTGAAATCTCGGGGTCATGTGATTGTTTCGAAAGCGAGGCAGTGAAGATATCAACAATAGCAGGCCATCTCTCAGCCATGTCGGACTCATCTAGCGGACAAGACAGTAATAGCTTATACGTAAATAATTGTTTTAAGAGGTCATGTATGATGCAAGTCTACCTATCTATTGTTGTTATATTTAACAGTATTGATGGTAATGTCAATAAACGTGGAAATCACTGCAAATCGCCTTCCAATGCAGCGATGGGGCCCCATAAGGGGTATTCTAAATCCTGTCATCAATGTCATTGTTTCATTTGTAAAGATTTATTAATTACTATTTTGAATCAACCATGGCATATCGTTAGTGAAAACACAGCTAGTGTTTGCCTGGGAATGTTGGGAATACTCATTAAATAATAAAACGTCCCAAAGAAGTATCTAGACCAAACCTGAAGCGAAGAGAAACGTTTCAACTTCAAGTAAACAGGCATATTGACACTGTGTCATTGAAACTTTGATAAATAGGCCTATCAATTGATTATAGACGTGTTTATTACGCACAACATCACTTTTTAGATCCAGTTTTAATCTATTCTACATTTATTTTGATATAAAGAATGTTTGAATGTACACAAGTTACACATACACTAATTACCCTACAATATTTCAATTATGCAATCATAAACCACATAATTATATCATATATATAAAATGATTGCATACATTATCTGTGAATTGAAAAATCCCTCAGTTATCAAAAATGTGAATACAAATTAATACAGGTCTGTTAAAAATTAACTGGATCACTGTAAGACTCAGAGCTCTAAACTTTGATGTTGTAGATGTACAGTAGATAGAACAAGGGGTTGCACGACCAAAGGTGAAGGTTAGAGGTCAATTTTGTTGATAAGAATATTATTATGACTCCTAAAAGCAGAGTTGGTTGGAATCCATCAAGAAATCACATGGCTACAGTTAAATGTCACCAGGTCAAATTTCAAAGTCACATTTATAATCAAACTTGCTGTATACATGTATTTGTATACTTTCATCTTTTATCATTATGTATAGTTACCAATAAAAATTGCAATATAATAACTGGCATATTGGGCCTCCAAGGCCTCTTGTGTTAAATGACCTCACACCACGAGGATTATAGGCAAAGAACAAGTTACTAGTCTCTCTGTATACAAGTCTCAGTTTTAGACAAATATATTGTCAGTTACGGTTTCTTTGTTGTGTCTACTGATCTTATGGAAAGAGCCGAGAAAATTCAAAATGCTTTCATTTTCTCAAATTTTTATTGTTCTAGATTTAAATTTACAACTGAAAGCTGCCAGGGTTGGGGTCCTAGTATCAGCTTCCTTACAATAAATGTCCTCTCGCAGGAGGGCTCTCATACACCATACTCTGAGTCTCCAGACAATCATTAATTCATACATTCATTCATATTTTGTTTTTTAAATGATATATTCATCCATCTCATTGCTGAAGTTCAATCACACATTCATCATTTCATTCAAACAACCATTTGTTCATGTGTTATATGATTATAAATGAGTAGCAAGGGAAGTCTTATTCAATATTGTTTGTCATCTCTCTTCATTTTAAAGTTGCCAGACTTCATGTATGGTAATTTGGTATAAAATGATAACCTGTACATCAATATTTTTTGTATGTATTTGCTTTGATAGCTACTCCATTGAATATTACCATTATAAACTTTGGTTGAGTGCATTGTTTCCACACCAGATATACCAGATGAGTGAGATGACCGAGCTCTACAATATGAAAATGTAGAGAATTAATTGCATCAATATATTTCAGGCAATCGAGTGAATCTAAATGTAGATTCATCACTGGGCAAATAGATGTTTGAAAAACAACTAGAAACATGAATGCTGCCTTTCCCCTACTTTATTTGCAGTACACCTTTTCTCAAATCTTGCGAAGCATAAATTAAGTGTTTTTTACCCCAAAAATGTCAGAAAATTAAAGCTTCTACATTATCTATTATAATACATCATTCCAAGTTTCAATTGCCTACCACTTGTACTTTTCCAGATATACCCAAAATTACAGAAATATTTTAATCAGCGGACGGACACACGGACGGAATTGTGGTAAAACAGTGTGCCCAGCAGACAAATTCGAACGGGGGCATCAAATTAAAACTGGTCTAATGCAAAAAATAATTATAATTCTTGACCTAAGATCTCATGGCAATGTTTCCATTTCATTATAATCTACCATCTGTATACATACATACAGTACACATTTCACAAGTGGTCATGTGATGTATACATATAATTTATATTATAACAATTTATGTGTCACATTGTGGGTGATATTTTCCATGAAAGTATATACATACATCTACATGTACTTCTACTTACTCTATATCTGAGACGTTGGACATTGGTGTATCTACAGACAGGCTAGGTTCTTTATGGGCAGGTGTGGATGTAATCAGTACCGGTGCCCCCGTAGATGTTAGGGTAAAGGGTTATATATTAATTAAACTTGTCTGATAGGCCTTACAATTTAATAATTGATGTTATGAAAACCCATATTTTATATCATAACACTAACAAGAGATCCCAGAGGCGCCCACCATTGTACCATCTTCATTAGTTCTTCGTCAGTTCGATCTTTTCTCTTCTTTCCTCTAATCTGTTTGATCGAGTCATCGTTAACAGTAAATGCACCTTGAGGTTAACTTTTGATCTAAACTTAATAGCCAACCTTCAAAGTGAGTTTGTCATTGTACATATTTACTAGTACAGTACTTAATGTGAAAGAAATAGAATCAAATCATTGCAATATGAGAAAGATCTGTTTAGTTCTTCCTTTAGCCATTTTGTTTTTATGATCAGTCTTAAAATATAACATGCACAACGAGGGATCAAGGGGTCTCAACCTACATATCAAATTTGAGAAAGATCCCTCAAGTTATTCCTGAGAAATAGTACTACAGTTAGAATTACGCCCAAGTATCCACCTAGGTTCAGTTCGTTCTGCGTGCGGCTTGCGTGCGGTTAGCGGTAGTCTAGCATCCAGAAAGCAATCGTTCACCGTTCGATCACCGTTCGTAATTTTGTCTGTTTCGTTCTTATCAGCTAAATCGTCATTTCGGCCGTCCCCCTCATCCAATTATTTCATTGGGTAGTTTAGTTCGGCTACTCCGTCCGGCTGTTCCGTCCGGTTGTATCATTAAGTTTGATCGTCTACTCCGTCTTTTTGGGTTAGGATGGGCACGCAGTTTATCATTTCAGTAAGG